GTCCAGGTTACAGATGACCCATAGTTAAGAACGGAGTCTACTGTAGCAAAATTCGAGTTAAATACACACTGGTTCAAGTTTATTACATAATACCACTTATACATATTATACAATAATACTGTTCTGGCTTACATGCAAATTTGACTTAAGGACAGACCTTGGGAACAGAACTCGTTCTTAAACTGGGGACTACCTGTAATCAGTGGAACTGAATTGTGTGATATTAGTCAGGGTCAGAAATTGAGACAATACCAAATAAATGTTTATAATTACATAAGGTAATAAACTGATAATCCACAACAAATCACAGCCACTTATTCATCAGATAACTTTAAGCCGTTCCTCCTTACATTAGCCCTACCCAACATTTCTAATTTCATTATTAGAGGTAGTAAGAGCCTTCCTTGAAAAGCTAGGCTTTTTCTAATAATAAATTTGATGGACTTGGAGCTCTTATGAAAGTAGGGCTACCAGATCTGGATTAAAATATCCAGATGACCTTGAGATGGCAGCAAAGAGATACAGAAAGCCCTGAAGTCTTTGTTACCATAAGTGGTTGTCTGGATTTTTGCAGCTCAAATCTGATAGTCCTAATGAAAGATAATATTTAGACAGCAAGTTTCACTGTTATGCAGATGAATTAAGAAATAGAATGTGATGTTCTTTGATATTATGCATCTCGATTTCACTTACATCATGGCTAGGTCCAATATTAATGGTATCTGAGTTGCAAATGGTATCTTTTTCATCATTGTATCTCTGCCACCTATTCTGAATATTGTTTTCATTCCAGTTAACAAATCTCTGCAGATGGCATGGGTAGAAGGAAAAACTTTCTCTTAGCAATGACTGATTTTTTTTTTAAATGAAAGTTGGATCTCTTTCTCTGAACTTTTAATTTGGGGGGGGGGGTGAGTTTCTTTTAGGGTTTATTTTCTCTTTTCCCTCAAATTCTCCCAAATGGAAGAAGTAGGCAACAGATTTTTGGCATTTTCTTTTAGCAGCTAAACATAAATAAAACCATACCTATATGATTAATGTCAAACAAGTATTTTACTCATAAAGGTCCCATGCTGTGCAATTTCTGTGGAATTATACCTTTCCCAACTATATTTTTGACTTCATTTTTCTGTGCATAAAGTTTTCTTCCCAAGGAATTTTAACTCATTACTAACATAAGACAGTAGAAGTGCTACCTTGTACATGCATAAGAAGGCAATTCTTTCACTTCTTATTCAGAAGTGTGAGGGTATTCAGTGAGGTTTATTCCTTGCTATGTTGAGGTTTATATACTGCCTCTGTTCAGCTACAGTGAACTACAAATTCCCTGTGCAGTATCTAGTAAAAAAATAAGTAGAACTGTTTTTACAGCACTGTTATGTGCTAACCTTCCCCAACTTATCATCTTCAATAAACTCAATAGTGCCTTGAGTTTATTTCTGGGAATTCTAACTGCCTCACATTTGGGGAATACTAGTTTTGGGATGGCTGTTTTTTTGTTTTGTTTTGTTTTTTGTTTTTTTGGCAAAACTAGCTATGGTGCAGAATACTGCACCAGTTTGTCTGAGACCTGAGCCATAACTTACCTTGTGTTCCATCTTTCTAGGTATGAATGCTGCTGTTCGAGCTGTAACTCGCATGGGAATATATATTGGAGCTAAAGTGTTCCTGATCTATGAGGTTCACATTTTTTATCCATCATCAAAATGTTTTTTCCCCTATGTTGTGTGTGTGTTTATAGTCCTTTTAGATTGCTGTAGGCATCTGGGAAACTGTAAGGGTATAAAAACAGAAGTGCTTATACAAATATCTTTACAGTGGTGCAGAAGTTGAATAATTCTAACATACCTTTCAATATAATCTTAGGAAACTTTAAAAAAAATTAAGAGAGTTAAGAAAAAATTGAGGAAGATCATTGATGAAGTAAATAGAAAAGAATGTTTTCAGCCTTTTGATAACAGCTAACTGTAAATGCAGAATAAATTCTGCTTTTAGTGTAAATTATTGAGGCAGTTTTGGCAAAGGCAGAACTCAAACTAAGTTCAGCTAAATGGGTAAGGAACTTACGGCCCTGCAAATGCTGTAGGATTTCAATTTAAATTCCCATCAGATCCAAACAACATGTCCACTGGGGCACAGATTCCCTGTTTCAGATAACAGGGTACTTGTTTTCTGAGCTGCTTTTACTTCCAGACTATTTTTTTCCATGACTTTAAGCTAGCCGCACAAGAAATTCTGTTGTTGTATTGTAAAAACATTTGCTTCTAACAATCAAGATGTTGTATTGCCACATTGGGCTAACTTTGCTGTATCACATTGGATATTTTTTCTTGATAATATATGTTATTATATTATTTTATGTTTTTAATTTAAGACCTTTTCCATGTG